CTCCCCCCATCCCAGTCCCCCGAGTTTTCCCCTTTCCTCCCCTACTCCCTTCTCTCTAACCCTCTCTGCTTCCAACAATGAAAAGAAGGATTCAGCTAGTTCTCTTTACAAGTCAAATTTTCCTGCTTTGGGGATAGTTATTGTTAATTTTTCCCCCTGAAAAACTTACTATAAGTTCTTTGCCAGGGTTCACTTTCTTCCCATAATTTATCAATTTTATCATTATTAAAAGGTACTATAATTTCTGCTGGATCTCTTCCTGCAGATAGATCACGTTTCAATTTTCCTTTAGCTCAGAGACTTTTATCACATAAGTTTTTAATATTTCACTTGATTTATGTGGTACAAAGATCCATTCTAAGAAAATATCTTCTTTCTGCATTCAAATTCCTGTGGGGGAAAGCTTGTAGGCAGTTAAGATTAAGACTCAGATGATCCACATGCGGCTTCTGTAATTTCTCTTCTGTCAAAGATAATTCTCTCTCATCTGATAATTTGCTGGAACTATTTATTTATTTATATATTTTAAAGAAAATAAACTATCTTTTTTCATTATACATACCAATCCAAAAATATATCCTTGTCACAATTTAAGATTTTGTTTAAATTATTAATCCATCTGATTTTATCCCAGTAGAACACAGTAGATGGGAAAATGTCTGCTTGTAATCCTTGGAAGTCATAAGAGTCTGCAATTGATCTCTTCTAGTTTGCAACATTTTATAATTTTTGTAAACCTATTTTATATCATAAATGATTAATAGAATCTTCTTTTTGTCATTTTTAAGAGAAATGTGTAATCCCCCAAATTTTGTTTATTTCTTCAAACGTTCTTTCTAAAGTGTCTACATTTTAATCAAATGTTGTCCATGTAGTGGTAAAATATAGGAAATTACTTTTATGTCATTACCAATAGCTGCCATAAAAATATCACCACAGGGTGAGACTATTTAACATTCCCCTTAGGAGAATCTCTGATAATGCTTATCAGGCTGTGAATTATTACAAGTAGGCACTGTGAACGCAAATTTTTTCTATATATGTTTCTTGTAAAGGTATAGTGAAGAAACAATGTTTTAAATCAATAACTATAAGAGATTATCCTTTAGGCAATAGAGAAAGCAAAGGAATTCCATACTTTAGAAAGTCCATTGGCTGAATCACCTTATAAACAGCTCTCATATCTGTTACCATTCTCCATTTTCCAGATTCCTTTTTTTCTTTTTTTAACAACAAATACAGAAGAATTCTAAGGGCTGATTGATTCTTCAATATGCTAAGCATGTAGTTGCTCCTGAACCAGTTGTTCTGAAGCTTGCAGTTTCTCTATTGTTAAAAGCAATTAAGTAACCCATACAGGTTCGTTTTCAGCCATTTTAAAGGTAGGGTTGTTGGTGCCTTTGAAATATCAGCAGCTGTTGTGTCCTTTCCCTTGTACAACCTGAATGTTCAGTGACTGTCCTTTATTATATGATGTAACATGTTTCCCAGAAACATGTATTAATTTAGGGTGTGTTTCTAAGATTGAGGGAATGTTAACTGAGTATTCCATTGCAGGAACAAATTACATCTCAATAAATTCATTGCTATGTTAGCCACATATAGCTTTAATTATTCTCTTTGTCTTTCCAGTTCTATATATTTGACCCATATCATTCTCTGTTTCACCTCAGATAAAGTTCTGATCCCTAAAAACTGAAGGTTTACCTCCTAAAGAGGCCAGTATGGATGCCAAGATTCTGGCGAAACTATTGTTACATCTGCACCATGTGTCTACCAGACCTTCAATGGCAATGTCATTTATTCATAATTTTACTATTATTCATAATTTTAATCTTGGCTTTTATTTATTTATAGAAGTTTTCCAAAGTACTTGTTTTATGGTTTCTCCTGAATTTTTTTGTTCCTTCTTCTATAGCTATTGTATTACCCAGAACAGTGTGATTTCTTATCATAGGCATTAGTTTCTTTAATAGCTCTGAGAAGCATTTTCTTGTGTGATAGCAGGAAATGACCAAACCACATTTGGCATAAGGGCCTGGGAGAGTACCCTCAAGGAGTTTCTCAACAGCAAAAGATTACCTCATAGTCAACTGTCTGCTTTTGCCACATCCTCTGCATAAATCAGAAGTGAAGGGCATTCTGAACGAATTATGCATAGAAATAACATCTTTTTTTCCAGGAATGTCGTCTTTGAAGTCCCTTCTAAGGTGATTTTGCCACAGTTGAAACACTTGACATTTTGATTTTTTTTTCAAACCTGTGGAAATCCAGAAATATTCAAGCATCACATAGCCAAGTATCATCATGTCATGAGATTTGATATTGATTTTATCTCTGATCCAATCATCCAAGGGTAATGATCTTGCCTTTAGTGGCAAGGGTAATGATCTTTTCCTTCTCCAAGAAACTGATCTTGGGAGATTCCCATACCTCCTGCATTACTCCATTGTTGAATAGTCTTAACCTCTTCTCTGAACCAGGTGCTCCATTGCAATTGTGGACCAGGCACTGAAACAACTTCAGCCAAGTCTATACAGTCTTAGGGATAATTACAAACTGACCACAGTTTAGCATTTGCTTCACAAAAGGTGAATGCATGTCACATGTGACTATTGCTTCATTAAATCTTAAGTCTAACATTGGCACAAGAGTTCATTCAGTTCCTACAAAGCCTCTATCATTTGGCAATTTCTGTAAGGTTACTGAATATATTAAGTTTGGTTGTTTGGATTCCTTAGACTGTTCTTCTCTAACCTTATAATTCATTGCTAAAATTGGTTCTCTCTTAAATTTCTCTGTCTGAATTTTAATATTTCTATGATCTGGTTTATAGAGTTTTTCTAAAATTTATATCATAGCATTCAGATAATCAAATTTTAGTGATAAAACAAAAATAATAAAGCTGATAATGCTTAAAATTGACCTTACATAAATGCTATCTAAATTAGTTATCCTCTGATTTAATCATTTCATTCTCAACTGTCTAGCATATTATCACACAGAGACTCAAATAAATCCATTTCGACAGTGTTTCCCATTTTTTAATGTGAAAAACTCTTTCTTTTAACTAATTCCTTCCTTCAAAATTTCCAATTTTCTCACCATCTGCAACTGATAATGACGAAGATGTGAGGTTTATTGCTGCTGTGAAGACAAATAAAACTCTGATTGGATTTCAAGGCAGCTTCCTAGGTTGGCAGCATCCTCATCCTTCAGGGACAATCTGCCAGGAGACAAGAAACCTAGACAGTAGAACAGTGACTCTGGCCACATGTAGCTCTGGCCTATGCTGATGGCTGCAAAGCCACCTTCAAATGGATTTCTCATAAATTTGTACTCCAAATGTTGGGTGCCAGATGTAGCAAGAATAATAAAAATTCAGAGACAGATATTGTGGTTTAAGCTGAAGATCAAGAAAGGAAAGCAGTTAGCCACTGGCTCATAACTCCACCTCAGTCTGAAACGGGCAACTCTGACTCCACGAATCCATAGACTGAAACAGACGACCCTGCCTCCACAAATCCTCAGAATGAAATGGGCAACCCTGTCTCCATGAATCCTCTGACTGAGACTAAACTGAGGCCTGTCTCCTCCTGTCTCATACTCTTCTCTATTGCTGCGAATAAAGGTGTGCACCTCTACTGCCCAGTCTCCTTGGCTAACTAGTGTAGCTGCTAAGATTGAAGGTATGTGCCATCACCACCTGGCCTGTATGGTTGACTAGTGTGGCTGCTGGGATTAAAGTTTTTTGCCACCACTGCCTAACCTGTATAGCTGACTAGTGTGACTGCTTTACATTCTGACCTTCAGGCAAACTACTTAATAAAACACAAATAATATATCACTAAGCAACTAAATAAAATACTGAGTGAGGCTACATACATACACCTTAACCCCAGCATTAGGAACGGCAAAGACAAGGAGGTGATTAGATCTTGTTTTCTCTCAGGCTAGCTGAAAAGAACACAATCGCCAGACTCTTCCTGAGAGTTAGTCTGAAAGGAGTAAGGCAGTGCCACAAAGGACAATTTATGACCTCTTCTGGCCTCCACATGTGTTTTAGAGAACATGCATCCCACGCACATGCAAAGGGAGAAACTTAGCGACGAAGCAGGACTCCTGTTTTTCTGTCAGATGATTTCAAGAAGAGACTATTCTGCACTATGACAAGAGGGAGGTTCCCATGTAGAAAGAAAGATCACTTTGACCACAGCATACCTCCGGGCCAATTTTAAACACCATGAGGTTCAGAAATTTATACAGTGGCTTCAAACTCTTGAGACAGAGTTTGAATCTTTTTTAAACTAGTCTAAAACAAATTTGAAAATCTCAAATATTTTCCCATGTTGTTTAATGCACCTTCACATAGAATCAAACACATACTTGAGAGATCATTTCTACACTTCAATGTCAGGATACCATAGTTCTCTTTTGGTACTTCAGAACACTATCAGATGAGAAAAAGATTCTTTCAGGTAAGTCTGAGATTCAGTTCTGGATCCTCACTTAGGGTTTCAAGCTAAGCTTGTAGGGAAATATGAATCCAAATCCCTGTAGAAGGTATGATCGTTAAGTCAGAGATATGCAAGAGTATAATGCGAGAGTACATGTAAAATTTGGTATCAGAAAGATGGCCCAACTGCGTTGGACAGAAGCAAGGCTTAATATGAGAATGAGTAGAGGAATTTGAGGGAAAGCCCAAACTGCTAAATGTTTTTAAAATGACTGATTTCAATGACCATTTTGATTATATATTGTCCTCATATTCTGACTTCCTTACATTTTGATGGCATTTTAAATTATCTTTTGTTTGTTTTTTGAAACAAGGTTTCTCTCTAGATTTGGAGGTTGTCTATATAATTTGGAAGTTATTCAATAGACCAGATTGGCCTCAAACTCACAGAGATTCGCCTAACTCTGCCTCCTGAGTGCTGGTATTAAAGATGTGTGCCACTACTCCGTAGTACATTTTTTTTTTTCAAACACAGAGGTCTGCTTCATTTCAGCTCCTTTACTGTCAAGCCAAGGGGCAGGGACTGTTTCAACTTCTCGGCTTTCTCCTTGTCTGTGATGACCAGGGTATAAAGGTACCTGCTGCAGCGAACCTTGAACTTCACATTTTCCTTGTTCTTGATCTTGACAGATTTGGCATCCTTTCGCAGGGCCGTGAGCAGGAAGTCCTTGATTTCCTCAATTTTCCGAGGCATGGCGACGGGCGCTCGGCGCTGGAGACCGTACAGCGGCGAGAACCGAAAAGAACGGAAAAAGCCGTAGTACATTTTTTAAATTATTTTTTGTCTAAAATTTATTTCTTTGTGTACAGTGTATCCAATACCACTTTGACTATTTATATTCTTCAGCTACAGCCAGAATTTCGGTTATAAGAATTATTTCCAGAAATGCCATTTTCCGACTTAAAAGTCAAACAAAATTTGTATAGACAAGGAACTCTTACATACAGAGATGAATGTAGGGGAATTTTTCAAGCCCTCGGAGAAAACTAGTGTGTATTGAGCCCAGAATTGCTCAGTTGAATGGAAAGTATTTTCACACTTGAAAGAGCTAAGCTAAGTAACTCATGCTGCTTTTCATTGCATTTTAACACATGATTTCCTTATCATGTGTTATTTCAGAATTATTTTCTATTTCTAAAGCACTTGAGAAATGAAAATTGTCTATTCAAAAATTTCAAAGTAATATGAACAAAGGTCTCTGTGTACCAGTGATCATCTTTTTTGTACATTTATCAACTTTATTTATAAGGTTCTGAGTAGATGATTCTGCAGTTAAGAGCACTTCCTGCTGTCGTAGAATACTGGGGTTTGGTTTCCAGCACCCATACCAGGATGCTCACTACCTCTTTCTGATTCAAAAAATCTTGTGCTCTCTTTTGGTTTCTTGGGTACAAGGATGTGTGTGATGCATATAGACCTGTGCAGGCACAGACATATGCACATACATGCAAATTTTATTTATATTAGTAATTTATTGATTTATTTATCAATAAATTTAATTTTTATTTATTAATAAAAATTATACACACACACACACACACACACACACTAAAATGTATTTGTAAGGTGAGCTGACACAGTAGGTAAAGGTGCTTGCTGCCAAGCCTGAGGACCTGATGATCCAGATAGTTGATCCCCATGACCCACATATCACTAGTTTTTTTCTGACCTCCATAAATATGTTATGGTCCATGTAATCAATATGCATAAAAATAAATAGATATAAGTATTATTTATTGTTTTAATGCAAAATTTAATATATTAACACCAAAGTTAATTTTTGATGACTTCTGCTATTCCTAAGAAATTCAGGTTCATGAGCAACTATAAGCATGCTTATCCCCATTCTGTCTAAGTGGTTGTGAAGAATCTGCACTGGTGGTGACTATCTCAAGTGTGATTGTTATTCTATTCTCATCTTACATTCTCAGTTAAAGCTATTTAATAAGTCTGTGATTGGGGAAAGTTGGTAAAGTGCTCACATGTCAATCATGAGGACCTGAATTCAATGAAACAAAACCAAGTAAAAACACAAAATCTGTGGTTAGAGAAATGTCTTCACAGTTAGGAATTCTCGCTGTTGTTCCAGAAGGCCTTACTTTGGTTCCCTGTACACAGGTCAGGCAGCACATAACTCCCTGTAACTTAATTTCCAGGAGATTAGACACCCTCTTTTAGCCTCAGCTAGCATCATCTCACATGTACAAGAATTAAATAGTATAAATAAATATTTTAACATCAGGTGTGGTAATATATTCTTGCAAGCCCAGAACTGAAGAGGTTCATGTATGCACACATGTGTCAGGGGTCAACCTAGCATAATAGATGAACTGTATGTGGAGAAAGAGACACTTTCTCAAGAATGAAGTAAATGACAGCTAAGAGACAGCATGTGAGATTGTTCTCTAGCCTCCTCACCCAAGTGCATGTGCGTGCACACACATGAGCACATGTATACATTTTTATGCACACACGCTTTTTTGTTGGCTGGCTTGACTGGCATATATCTGCAGTCTTTGTTTTCAAACAGAAACACATCAGTGTGCTAGAATTCAGTATACAAAGTGACAATCATCCCTCTGCTTCGCTGATCCCTTTTTTCCCAAAAATCTTCCCATGGCCTTTTATTTTTCACTGAAGTGCACTCCATGCTGTTGATCACAGCTGAGAGTCAGTAGTACAGAAGTACAGGCTTATGTCATTGAAGAAGAAATGTTCCCAAATATGTCATGAACAACAAACGATCTAGCTTCAAGCCTAATATTTCTCATTAATAAAGACCAAGCCAGCAGGGCTGATTTAGGGGGAAATCTTTCCCCAGCAGAAGAGAAGTGTGTGTGTGCCTGAGATTTTCTTTTCCACCGAGATATGTGATAGATGTGCTAGTTCACATCACCTGAAACTGAGGAATTCTTTTTAAAATAAATGTTAAAAAAAGAGTGTCAGCATTAATGGCACAATAAAATTGACAAGTTGAGAATAAATGTAAGATATATAAAAAATTAAAGTTCTCACAGCAATATGAACCAACCCTAATGTCTGAATTATGAGAAATTTAACAACTGGAGAAATCTAAAACATTATTCTGGAAAAATAAGAATAAGAAGATTTGATGCAAATTTCAGAAGTTCACAATTATGTCATGATAAGAAAGATTTTTAATGTTTATGAATCATTATTGATGATTTAATTCATATTTATGAGGAGAATTTGTTTTGTTGTTGGATGGACATGAACAACAACCCATGTATTTCATAATCATCATTTTAAGCTATATTTTTAAATATGTTTACTGATGTTAAGAGGTACGGGATGATATTTCTTTACAAGTACAAGCTATATAATTGACTCTGCCATTTTATTTTTTCGTCTTACCATTGAAAGAAGATCAGCAGGATGTGTTAGCTAAAAAGGAGTGCATCACCAAATCTGATGTCCTGAGCTTGTGCTCTGGATCCCACATGCTGAAGACTAAAAGTATTCCTCTGCCCTCCACATTCTTATGATGAAACTTGCTTACTATGCCCCCCACACAAATATGCACACACAATAAGCAAACAAACACATAAATAAATAAATAAATGTGATGAATAAGGAAAACATTATTTTTTGTGCTGTAGAGCAAATCCCTACAGTACTGCTTGGTACATGGCAATCTCTGGTCAGAGGTCATACCTCTTTTTAAGGAAAGTCACCTGCTCCATGTTCACATAGGAAACCCAAAATGATATGATGTGATACAATCAAACCTGTCTCCATGACTCAGCTAGTATCAAATTCTCAATGTGTTATGGAACAACTCTTCAAAATTTTAATGCATTTAATTAAGTTTTAAAATTAGGTTAGGAAAATTTGACATGTACAGAAACTGAGTGATGACATGTTTGTTAACACTGACTGTCAACTTGACAGGATCAACAATCACCTAAGCAAGTTTCTGACCACATCTCTGAAGAGTAACAAGATGGGGCTAAGTGACGTGGGAGGGCAACTCATAATGTTGGTTTCATCATCCCAAGGGCAGGGATTCTGCACTGAGTGAAAAGAAGAAGTTACCCTGAGCACAATGTTCATCTGTCTGCTTGTGATGTAATGAGAAGAGGAGTCTCCAGCATCTGCATTTGCTCCGTGATAGAGGATGTCTTCAAAATGAACCAAAGTACTTTAATCCTTAGGTTTATTTTGTCACAAATTTTGCTTCAGCAGCAGGAAAAGGAACTAACATTGATAGTAATTATGTTTCCTGACTCCTGCAATGAGTGTCCTAAGCATTGACGTGAAGATCAACAGGAAGTCAGCTACAGTTGCTGGCTTGGCGTGTGAGCAGAGGAGAGAATTTGGTGACCAAGATGACCAAAGGAATTTTGGAAGACAACTCATTCTTGATATCTGTGGTTTTCCTTTCTACCTGCAGCTTAAAATGTCTCCTAATAGAAAACATATAGAATATGGCTGGATATTTCTGTACATTTAATATTTCAATATAAAGACAATTCATTGGGAACAAGAAAGATAACTGTGAGTAAAATGCTTGCTGTGAAATTCTAAAGACCTGAGTTTTGATACTGAGCACTCATGTGGAAAGCCAAGATAGGTGGTGTTTTCATATAACAGCTGAGCTAATGTTGAATAGAAGCACAGACAGGAGGATCTCTGGGGCTTGCTGGTCAGCCAAAGGAACAGATTAGGTAAACTCCAGGATTCCGTAAAGACCCAATAACAACAAACAAAATGAAGAGATGATGAGATGACTCAGCTGAATGCTAAGATGATAGACTAAAATCTATCTCAAAAATCTAACTGGAACCCACAGGGAAGGAGAGAACAAAATCCACATGTAATTTTCTGACCTTCACATGGCTCCATCACATTTCCCCATATACATATAAATCAATACACACATAATAAATGAACATAATGTTTAAAAATTAATAAAACCAACAAAGTAATAAAAAATAAGATGGAAAATGCTTGAAAAATATACCTGAAATCAACCTCTGGCCTCTGTGCTTCCAAAGTGGTTGACTATATCCGTACACAGAAGCATATATACCTACACACACACACACACACACACACACACACACCCTTGAATATACAACTTGAATTATACATCCACATCCTCTTGCTCTCCCTCCTTCTGTTTGTTGTTCTGTATCATAGCTATCCATGAGTATCCCAACCTACCTTCTCTTCTTCCCTTTCTTTACTTCTTGTAGAAGGAGCGGCAGGCCGCTTCCTGCCGCCTGGCTCCCAGCTAGCTTTATTCCTGAAATAATTACATGGAAATTGTATTCATTGAAACATTGCCTGGCCCATTATCTGTGGCATCTTATTGGCTAACTCTCTCATATTGATTTAACCCATTTTTAATAATCTGTATCTCACCACGAGGTGGTGGCTTACCGGGAAATATTTAGCACGTCTGACCTGGTGGCTAGCTGCATGGCATCTGCCTCATTGTCTTCTTCTGTCTACTCCACCTATCTAAGCTGTTGTCCTATCAAAAGCCAAGGCAGTTTCTTTATTAACCAATGAAAGTAACACATAGACAGTTGACCCTCCTCCATCAACTTCTCCTTTCTTCTCCCTTTTATGCTCATTTCCATTTTGCCCACTCTCCTTCCTTTCTGCTTTTATTCTGTAGTTTCAGGAATTTATTCAGTAGTTTTTGTTAGTAATTTAATAGAAGACTGAGAATTCTGTTTATAAAGCTGTGGTGTCTCTCCTTTTTTATTTTTTCTTTCCTTA